AGTGAAAAAAGAGTTACTCTCAGTGGGAGGAGCCGAATGACATGTAGTCCGAGAGAGAGGAAGAGGGGAAAGGGGGTGGTGGGGGTGAGAGAGGGGTGCTGCCGGAGGTCGAGAGCCATGTAAGAGCGCCCTGAAGAGGGGGGGACCAACTGGAATAGGAGGTGGAGGGAGGGGGCAAGAGCCCCAGGACCTTACCGCATCATCATTCAAAAACTCGAGCCGGAAGTTTATTTCGCGCATCTGCCCTTCGAGAGTACCTACTCATAAACCACAAGCAAGCAGACGATTGTGTTTCTCTGTTTAAGCTCAACAATAGTCATAGTGTGTATCACACGGTTAATAACGCACCACAAAAGTCGGCTATTCGGTGCTCGAGTGGGAGGGGAGGGGAGGGGCCGAGTGGTGTGGGGGAGGGGAGGGGCGGTATGGTCCTAAACAAACACTCTGGAGGGCCACCGTGTCATAATACATGGCGGGCGCGGTGGCGGGCCGTATGGTGGCAGCCCGTGGCATGGCCGCCATCGCGTCATCGCACGACCATGTTTATTTTTTGGCGGGCGTTTATCTATGGCGGCGATGCATAAAACATCGGACAGTACTTCCCTGCTCCGCGCCCGGCCCCGCCCCGCCACGCCCCACCATGCCCCGCCACGCCCCGCGGTGACTCTAGCGGCAGGTAACGCGCGTTGTGGACGCTGCACACAGTATACACGCTCGCGTGGTGCTGTTTTTATTGAGGCCTTTTCCCATCCCTCCCCGCATCATGACATGTTGGTCCAGCCGCACAGACTCTCCAGCCACACCGTGCAGAGAACAAGAGCGCGGCGGCGGCTGTTGTTGGGCACAGAGTCCAGAGATTCCAGACTTACCGCAAGGGCGAGAGTACATTCACAGCACACAATTACAAAAAATAAAAGGAAACATTGTGAACAGACAAACTGTACTCTGTCAACCCTAATGCATATATTGTCCGCATTAAAGAAAGTAGACACTCCGAGTACTATTTGTGTCCATTTAAAAGTGTAGGAATCGGCATGTCTACTTTCCTTCGAGTTCACATGCCATGTCCACTTTCTTTAATGTAGACAGTGTACGCATCTGAGTTGAAAGAGTACGAAGGATTTGTCTCAATAATATTTGCTGAACTCCGCACCAACAAAAAATAATATGATGATGTTACACACATATATTTGTTTCAACAAGAGAAATTGTTGCTGAAAACTATTTTGTGGCTGAAGAAATCAACAAAATTATATTTGCAGCAACAACAAACTATTTTGATGCAGAAACTAAAGACGTATTCCACTTCCAAAATCTACATTTCTTAAAAATTAAGTTTAACTGTATGACTTACTCAGTTTTTGGTCCATTTCATGCCAGAATGTCATGGAGGTTCAAAGGAAGGTGAGGTAGAAGGAAGGCAATGCTCTGGCTACGCTTGCTGCTTTATCCCTTCGCCCGGCAACGGCGACACTGTAGGACAAAATTCAAAACGAAAGAAAAGCAGAGGGAAAAGAACTTGTTGAATTCAGTCTGGTGCCCCTATTTGATTGTAATCATTCTCATTCAAACAAAAACGAACCAAATTATGTAAGATTTTACATTCTTGTATTTCTGAACATCGTGATTGATTCAACTAAGGCCACCTCTAACCTCGAAATAGTATCTCGATGTCGAATGAATAACTCCACTACCGCCCATCAAAAGCGTAATATTCTGTTATAAAATATTACCTTGTAACCTGCAGTCAGTTTATGTTACTTACACGATAAATGCTAATAGAAAAGTAAATAGAAAAGTACAGGAGATAAAATTTAAAACACAATACGTAAACCACTTGCCCACACTTTTTCATCTCACATCTCACCGAAGACAAACAAAAGACAAGAGTATTGGCAGGTGCCAACATGACAGAAAAACGAAGAATGAAAAAACATCACTGGTGGGTTACAGGGAACGGCATTTTCTTCTGTTCCAATTAAAATGAACCAAAAGTTGAATGGGTGATTTCATTTTCAGAAGGTAAAGACGTTCGCCTCAAGAGAAACGATTGCCATTTGGCACTCCATAGAGGCATGTGGGACTTCCCTCGGCCCGGCTTTGCTTCGGCGAGCTGATCCTGATGTACCTATGGACCTGCTGCCCGCTCTGGTCGGCGCCGAGGGCGTGCCGCCGCCGGAGGAGGAGCACGGGGCCGATGTCGACGCGGGGGGTTGGGGGTTTGGCCTACTCTGCTCCTCGCCCACCGCAGAGCACGACGCGCTGGTTTTGCGGCGGGGCGGGGCCGCGGCGGCGGGGGCCGGGGCGACCGGGTCTGGGGCTTGTCGCCCTGCAGCGGGGCCCGCGCCGGCCCGCCCTGCTGCTCTAACTTGCGGGATAACTTTGCGGAATTTGCCGCGCGGCTTGGCGAGGCAACTTGGGCCCCTAATTCGTCTAAGTTCGGCAGGGAGCCATATGTTGCGAGCACGATGAGGCGTACCTGGAGGAGGACGCGACGATGGCAAGAACGTCGTACTGTACACACAATGGGGGTGCGTCGTTCGTCGACGGCATGGCTGCCGGAGGGTTGCGGAGACTTTCGTGAGATCGAGTGAATCATCGATCGTAAAGAGAGGGCCGCGTTTATAACGACGAGTCGCTTTTCTCCCGCCATGATATATGTGGAAATGATACTCATTTCGGCGATGCGGTGACTCCGGGTGATCCCCCCCTCCCTCCACCAAGCAGTTTAGCGTTCCCGTTCATCCCAGCAGGTGGCACACCGCGCCACACAGACACCAACACACACACACACACACACACACTCTCACACACACACACACACACACACATCGGCAGTCCATTTGCATGAGGAGCCACTCCGAGCCGACCCCTCTAGCTAGAACCGTCCGCAGCAAAAACATTTCCCCCTAGCGGCAGCAGCAGCAGCAGCAGCACCACCACCACCACACAATGCAAAAAGCTGCTTCATTACGGCTACATGACCCCGGGAACTGAGTCTGACCTCCCAGTCGTATATCTAGAGCGCGTCAGGCAGCAGCAGCGCCACGCTCGACGCGCTCACACTCACACAACACACATGCACGCACACACACACACCGGTGGGAATGCAGGTTGCCTACCCGTAGGTGCGTATGAACACGCATTAGTTTGAGAGGGCCGTGATGTCAGTCGGGAAAGCGGGGGGAGGGGGGGGGGTGATCCCCTCTGACCCCCCAACAACCCCACGGCGGTGCATGCAGTGCGGTTGCGCCTCTGCTTTATCGTGCGGGTCGGACCCCCCCCCCCCCCCCC